GAAGAACAGCATTGTGAAATCACACATTTCGAGCCAAATCACAAGCCGGGAAAAGAGCGAAAGTCACGAGCCCAGCTACACCAGCAAGCGCTAACAGCTTCGTGGGACAAGTACTCTACAGACCATAAGAAGGAGCTGGCAGGAACAGGGCTATCTGGTGATGTAGCCAATGATGTTTTCATTCGAAGAGCCAACGTTGTAGAGTCTTTCCTCAAAGCAGGTGTGCCTATGAGTAAGATAGACCACCTTCGTCCGTTGCTTGAAAGCAACTACTGTCGCATGGCGTACAGCACTCACATGTCACATTTGGTGCCATTCCTGTTGCAGAGTGAGCAGTCTACCATCAAGAAGGAGATTGCATCTGCAGCTCATCTCACCGTTATTTTCGATGGTACTTCACGCCTTGGTGAGGCACTTGCTGTTGTCCTCCGCTACGTCGATGGCGATTTCAACATATACCAACGCCTTGTACGTTTCTCTGTACTGTCCAAAAGCCTAGCTGGTACCGAACTAGCTCGAGAGCTCATCACAGTTTTGTCAACACAGCTGCAAGTTCCAAGCCACACGGTTCTTGCCTTGGTCCGAGACTGTGCAGCTGTTAATAGTGTTGCTGTTAGGGTGGTAACAGATCTTTTGACCCCATATAAAGTGGCATTAAATTGAGCATAACGAGCATAACGAGCATTAAAACTAGCATAATGTGCCACTTTTATTAGCAGTGCAGTGCTAGTAGCATAATTGCCGAAAATAGCTAGCATTATTCGCCGGGGCCTACTGCTTATATTTGACTGCTTATGAGTTCCGCAGTCGAACGGTGCCTAGTAGCCCTTTCCCAAAGGTGCTCTTTTAATTCGCACTTAGTGCTTTTCGCGTCCCTCAAAATATGCTGAAAAAGTGCTCCTTTATCAAAACAGGCAAGAAGTGCTCTTTTTTCAGTGAATGATAGCCATGATACATGTTCAGATATGAACCCAAGCTGAGAAATGAAGACGCGCTCTTCCATTTATGGGTCCACGAAAGGCAAAACAGGAAGTAAAGTTCAAAAATCCCACTTTTTACAGCATTCTGTACACCGGGTACAAGCTTCACCAACTTGTTGCCCCCCCCCCGAAAATGCGGCGTACCTAGGCCCATCCACGCCACATCGAGCACTAGGAAACTGTGACCGCATGCATGAGCAAACAGATTTTAGCACTTTTTCAGCTAAAAAAAGCTCAAAAAGGGCGATATTCACCAAAAAAAGCCATAAAGGGCGAAAGAAACGGGCTTTTCCAAAAAGGGCGAGCACCTTTGGGAAAGGGCTAGTGCCTAGTGCAGCATGGGCACTGTATGAGTAGGTGATGGTGCAACGGTTGTGCAATCATAAAACCGGGATTCATGAGGTCATCGTTCTGGAATTTGAAATACGGACTGTTTGTCGTGATAAACTTCATAAACTTCGTACTTGGTCAGTATAGGAAATAAAAAACCTCGTAAAAGACCTCGGCTTCGCCTCAGTCTTTTACTCGGCTTTTATTTCCTATATTGACCTCGTACTCAGTCAATATTAGATACATACACAGACCTACAGCCTTACACTTACAGGCTACACTCTGTCTCTGCTACAGATGAGACACAGACTGAGACTGTGCATGACTCGGAGGGTATTTTTGCAGGGAGATTTACACTTCTAGTTGTAGATCTACCTGATTGTAGTACAGTCATGTACTTCCGGTCAGGCTAGGCAAGCCTCCATCATCGATGAACACCATGTACATGTATGCTTGCACAGCGCGGTCAGGGTGTAGTCTGTAGAGCAGGGAGTCGTAAAACTTACGCCCTTTTTGCTTTTACGACTCCCTGGTGTAGAGTGTTGTGAAACCGGTCTTTCACGACTCCCTGGCCTGGTGTTGACCAGGGAGTCGTAAAAGGGCTTTTACGACTCCCTGGTGTTGACCATGGTTGAATGACTCCCTACATCCTGGCCTGGCCTGGACCTGGTGTAGAAGTCAAGAAACCAAGAAAACGTGAAAGCACAGCTACAGCCAGGGAGTCGTAAAAGCCCGGGAGAGGACACGGGATGCGCGCACGCGGACGATGTTTGCCTCGGCCAGAAAGTGAAGCACGCTAGGCCGGCGCGGCCGGATCTGCTCGATCCGCGGCGCTGTGCTCGTTTTCAGCAGTTCAGGGCAGGGAGTCCTAAAATACCAATATTTTACAACTCGTTGTTGACACCATTATCCGAAACTGGTGGCGAAGGAAGCATAAACATGATTGTGTGTCTGTCTGTCAGACTCAGTACACATGGGACAGGGGGTGGGGAGTTGAGTGTGTGTGTGTGTGGGGGGGGGGGGCGTGTGTATGTGCACATGTGCTTGTACTTTTGTGTGTGTTTGTACAGTGTTTGTGTGTGTGCGCGCGCGTGCGTGCGCATTTTTGTGCACAATTCCGTTAGGGGCCGTCCGTAAATATCGATGTTTTTTTAGAGACGATATTGGTGCGTCTGGGGGGGAGGGGGTTTGAGCCATGTGCGTCTTTTCGAGCATCAGAAAAATATCGATGTAAATATCTGAAGTTTCGCCGATCCCTGCACGCGGACGTCTAAATGGCTATACAAGAAATGTGAAACCAGCTTCCGTTCGCGGAGCTAAAACTCGCGACACAAGAACAAAATCAAAAATTGGAAGCTGTACGCCCATGGCGAATTTCAAAAGCAAAAGAATGAGCTATTGATTGTGGAAATCGGCCGAACGATGCCTGCAGGAGACCTTTTTCAAGACGTAGAGGCAGTGCGAACAAACACGGACGAACTCCACAAGAGTTTCCAGTCTTCACTGTCTGAACAAGGATTTGAAAAAATTCAAGCCCGAGCGTAGCCGCTTTGGCTACACCAGTACATGTAGATCTACACGATGGCTGTGAGCACTGCAGCGCCAACCCGGTTCGCTCCCCCCCCCCCCCCCCCCCCAGGCGATGCAGCTATTGCGTGAGTGCGGCGGGATTTTCACGCCTACACCGGACCCTCAACATCCTGGGCACTTCATGAGCATCCAAAAATATTGATTCCATGATGTACATGTGCGTCTTCTGGGGGGAGGGAGGGGGGTCAAGGGAGAGAAGCACCAATATCGTCTCTAAAAAAACATCGATATTTACGGACGGCCCCTTATGAAGTACAAATGATAGGTTTACCTTTTGTACACTCGCCAAGACTTCGGTTAGATTCACTGAGAACCTTTCTGGCCAACCTGGAGGCTGAGCCTTCCATTTCCTAAACGGCTAAAGTCACCGCGTACTCAGGTACGAGTAGAAAAGTGTTGAAATTATCAAGATTTATAAATAACGACCTGCAACCATGTACAATGTAGATAGATAGGGAACACACATTGATTGTTTTTAAAAGAATCCAGGCAATATCATGAATCATGGAACGAGTGCGTAATAATGCTCCATGTTGCGTTTTGACGATGCTGAAGGAAGGGAGCCATTGCGATTAACTCACAACACACGCACAGAAGTCCACTCGACTGCAATTTCAGTGCAATTTCTGACACAAATTCATAAATCCACGAGTACGAGGAAGCTCAGCGGATCTCCACAAGAACTTTCGCCCATCACCTGCAATGGAATATGGGCTGTATGATACGACCAGCGGCTAACACGGGAAGTGGCGTCATTTTCCACAAATCTCGTTTCATTCACAACCATTTGACTGCAATTCAGTGCAATTTCTGCCACAAATTCAACTCCACGAGTACGAGGAAGCTCAGCGGATCTCAACACGAACGTTCGCCCATCACCTGCAATGGAATATGGGCTGTATGATACGACCAGCGGCTAACACGGGAAGTGGCGTCATTTTCCACAAATCTCGTTTCATTCACAACCATTTGACTGCAATTCAGTGCAATTTCTGCCACAAGTTCAACTCCACGAGGACGAGGAAGCTCAGCGGATCTCAACACGAACGTTCGCCCATCACCTGCAATGGAATATGGGCTGTATGATACGACCAGCGGCTAACACGGGAAATGGCGTCATTTTCCACAAATCTCATTTCGTTCACCCCAACTCAAATCAAAAGTGAAGTACAATTAGGGATTTATCTTGCATTTCCATCGCCTCAGAATAAATTAACTTCGATAAACTGAGAGAGAATGAGTGAGGCCAGCTGGAAGAATTGAGGATGAAAATAGAGATCAGAAGACTCGACGGAGCAATCGTCTCCGTGCTCTAAGAGAAATCGGAGAATGTCCCAATTAGTATTTCAAGAAGACATCACAATTTTCAAAAATAATAATTTCCTTGCCTCGCAACACCGTTCCCTGGCAGCGTTCCCCGGCAGCGCGAGGCAAAGATGTTTTCTGGGAATGTGTGCGTGTCCTCTCCCGGGCTTTTACGACTCCCTGGCTACAGCCTTACAGCTAGATCTACTAGCCTAATTAGGTGTAGACTGAGAGAGCTAGAGGGCTTTTACGACTCCCTGGTGTACTAGTACTAGTAGTAGTAGACCATGGGCGGCAGACTATCGCCGATAGTCACCCCCCCCCTCCACACACACACACACACCTCCACTCCGATCCAGTCACAACAACCACAGACATAACCTACCGGTATGCACACTGGCTGTGTTTGGCTCGCGCTCTGACTCTGAGTCTGAGTCTGAGTCTGAGCTGTCAAGTCTGTGTCAGTGTCACACGAAGTACAATGATGTACCATGATGTACAGAAGCTGTAATGATGTACTACTGTATACTGTTGTGGACATGGAAATCCGGTCGCACGTCTAGCGGCCCCAGGGTGCTGGCCATGCAGCCGTGGATAAGCGGTACACACACACATGCATTTATGCGCTGCAGCGCGCTAGTCGCATCGGATCAACAAGTGCCCCTAGCCCTGCACGCACGCGCAGCGTTCGGTACGCGCTGAGGGCGCCGGCCCCGGTCAATCGACTGGATTTCCATGTCCACGACAGTACATGTACTAGTACTACTACTAGTACTAGTAGTAGTAGATCAGGCTCAGCGTTGAATCTGATAATAATTTATGTAGCGACGAGGTTCTCCTCCCACTGTTCCCCAAGTGCTATTTCATTGACATCAGACAACGAAATGCAAAGAGGAGCTTTAGTTTGGGGTAACGTTTGATGGTACGAGTCTCTAGAGTTAAGTGGCTTGCCGAACTGGTAGGTTCTTTGTAACGGTCAATGTATGTAAGCACAAATGATGAGGGAAGAACACCATTGAGGATCCGAAACGCTCTGTGAGATACTGATAGTGTTACTGGAGATTGAATTGAGGGTTGAAATGAAGAAAGGTGAATGGACGACACGAGGTAATGATAATTATTATGTCGTGGAGTATGTTTCACCAAACCATTGCGCGCGCTGCGCGCACGCGTGTGTGTGTGTGTGGTGTGTATGTGTGTGTGTGTGTGTGTGTGTGTGTGTGTGTGTGTGTGTGTGTGTGTGTGTGTGTGTGTGTGTGTGCGCGCGCGTTACACATCGGATACATTCCTGTGATGTTGTGCTTTACAGTGCTAGCTAAGCTGTAGTGTAGGACATACTAGTAATGGTCCTGTAGAGGTTTGAAACTTTGAATCAATGGCGCACCATCATTACCTAGGCATCAACAGTCAGTACATGACTTGTACATCATCATGATACACATTCTACTCTTCTTGTCAAGTGGTATTTCATTGCATACTTCCGTACTGTGCAGCGGATCCGAAGCTCAGGTAGTGCGACCTAGAGCAGACGCTCCGGAAAGAATTTCTTGGTCGGGGTTATAAAAGGAGGCTGCAATATTACAGTCTGTGAGATATTTGAATCAACAGGGAATTATACAATTTTCAATTTGCCAGTTTTGGGCGTGCTAGTAAAGATGGTAGCAAATCGTTGTCCCCCTCCCCCACCACCACCATTGACCGCTGTAGCAACAAAATTCTACCGGTCCACAATAATAAAATGACTTTGCAAAGGATGCCTGTAGAACAATAATTATATCGTTTTCTAATCGAGTGGGCTGCCAGTCTTGTCATTTTCACTACATGTGTTTTAAGAAAGCCGCAGAGTGTCTCTCTATTGCATAACAGAGAGGTTTTGCATTCCGAATTTCGAAATTATTTTCGGAATGTGGCGGCAAGAGTCGAAAAAGTAGTCGAACTTTCGGAAGTGTGGTGGCGAAAGTGCATGGTTTTCCGAAAATGGATTTTCGGCTCTTTCCTGTTTGGGAGCGCATAATTATTTCAATATTTTTCATACACGGCGAGGAGACAATAATTTGATAACTGCAATCAATAAAACTAGCTGAACCGACATTTGTGTACTTTATTCATGCAATGTAAAAACGGTGGAGACGATGTGCAATAAAACGATGAAAATATGAAGAAATGGTGTAGGGAAAAAATATGGATTCAAACAAGTTTTCGTACAACACTCATCAGGAATCGTCGTTGTACTAAAGGACACTGAAACAAAAATTGAACTATTATAGAAAATCTAAGTTAGAGAAATAACACTAAGAGCAACAACAGTGAAATCTACAAGTGTGAATTTTAACAATCAAAGCGAGAAATGAACAAAGGAGAAAGGAAGGAAAGACAACGTGATAACACATAACAGCAGTACATTACACCTAGAACATTAACGGCCAAGCTTGGCCGCACTAAACACGACGCGTTACTTGAACAATTTCAACCCAATTATACTATCTTTCTGTACACTCTTCGTTCACTGTATTGTGCCGTGGTCGTCATGGTTATGGACTACAGTTAAAAGTGCTGGAAGCTATCTATCAGCGTCTGTACAAGCCTAATTTGTGTGTACAGAAAGATAGTATAATTGGGTTGAAATTGTTCAAGTAACGTGTCGTGTTTAGTGCGGCCAAGCTTGGCCGTTAATGTTCTAGGTTTAATGTACTGCTGTTATGTGTTATCACGTTGTCTTTCCTTCCTTTCTCCTTTGTTCATTTCTCGCTTTGATTGTTAAAATTCACACTTGTAGATTTCACTGTTGTTGCTCTTAGTGTTATTTCTCTAACTTAGATTTTCTATAATAGTTCAATTTTTGTTTCAGTGTCCTTTAGTACAACGACGATTCCTGATGAGTGTTGTACGAAAACTTGTTTGAATCCATATTTTTTCCCTACACCATTTCTTCATATTTTCATCGTTTTATTGCACATCGTCTCCACCGTTTTTACATTGCATGAATAAAGTACACAAATGTCGGTTCAGCTAGTTTTATTGATTGCGGTTATCAAATATTTTTCATGTGTGTATTTTTGTTTTCTGCTGCTCTCGCTGATTATATTTGAAAAATTTCCATGTGTGTAGTTTTGGTTTTTGCTGGTTTTCGCTGCTCTCGCTGATCTCGCCATGTTGACTACAGGTAGATCTTTTCACACTCCATCACACTCTATCTTCCTCTGCCATGGAGCTTACTGACAGTACAAGACAGTAGTTCGCCAACCTCGCCTTCAGCTATTGGATCACTCAGTCCACCATTAGTCCGTCCTCGTCTTCGAACCACACCCAAATTTGGTTTGACCTGCACATGGATTTGACCTCTCAGGCAACTCCTATTTTGTGCTCAGCCCCTTTGTTCGCGGCTCTGTGGGATTCGAGGAGACTGCAAAAGTTCTAGCCTTGTCTGAGCCAAAGTTTGCTGGTATCACCAGACCAGGAAGTCTGTCAGAGACCACACGCTGCTGCTGTTGGACCAACACGCCTCAAAACCGAATTTGCAAGATTCGGACGAAAAAGTTTTCGGTTTTGGCGCCTTCGACGCTCTCCATTTTGTTTTGCATGGCAACCGTTGGAAACGAAGTCGAATCAGAGTTTCGGAATGCAAAACACTGAAAATGCCGTTTTTCGGCACTCACTTTTTTTCGGAAAAGCACAGTCGAAAAACATTCCGAAATTCGGAATGCAAAACCTCTCTAATGTGGTGCGAACTTATTACGGGATAAATTGGCGAGGCAAGCCGCATGACATTGTCCTTGGATCAAGACCAGTACGTATGTATTTGCGTGTCCAAAAGACATCACAGTTAGGCGCTGCATCTGCCGCTAGGGTTTACCGGGTGTTAGCGGCCGTCGTGAGTTCCCTTCGGGAACGGACACGATAATTTCCTTCTTTTTTTTTTAAAGACATCACAGATACTCTGAAATGATTTATTATGATACTGTACATGTCTTATGTCATTCCCAATATCCTAACAGATGTACGGCAAGGTTTCTCTGCAATGACTACTGGATACTAATGTTAAACATGCACCAGTATTAGACTGAAGATCAACACGTTAGCAGGTCATCAAATCAATACTGTGCTTCTCCAGGCCGTCGGAGTTTCCCTCACTGATCGAAATAACGCCAGGCGACCTGGGTGCGGCCATCTTTCAAGATGGCACGGTCGTCAGAACTGATGCGCGTGCGTCCATGGCTAGTGATGTTCGGAGGATTGCTGACTCATCTCACGTTAGGGAGCTATTATACATTTGGTAAGCTGTTTTGTACTTCCTTACGCATGCCTGAAATTCTGGGCTTACAACTTTAATTATAACGTGTATTCCAAGTACTTCAATGCAAACATTGAAATTGACTTTCGTAGTGGAAGAAAGAAAGAACTTGAAGAGGCGGCAGCCAAGGGATGTCCAACATTTCGGGACCTCCCCTTCTGGCCAACAAAACCATCATCAACCAATGTTATTACTACAAAGGGTGGTGTCCTTTTCTGAATATCTTCACTATCGACACAACACTTTCAAATGTATTCTTCTCTACATTTGTTTCAGAAAGCTGTGAAAGGACATTCAGAAGAGAAAAAAGGCGTGCAAAAATACTCTATCGTTGTTTCTGATGCAGTGAACCAGCCTTGTTGATGTCAGATCTGTAGTTACTCTATGCTTATGAAACTGTGAAAGGACATTCAGAAGAGAAAAAAGGCGTGCAAAAATACTCTATCGTTGTTTCTGATGCAGTGAACAAGCCTTGTTGATGTCAGATCTGTAGTTACTCTATGCTTATACCAGCCTGTTTTTGAGAGAGAAGGTGTGTATTGTGTTCTTCTAACGTTTCAGGTAATATGTCCCCTTACATCACTTCCTACATTCGTCTACGCGGAAACCAGCCGGATGCAACCTTTGGGGTAAGTCATTGTCTCATCCTCTTCTATTGTCTGATTTCAGTTATCCGAGGTTCAGCTCTTGCATGGCTCTAGTCTAGCATGTCACCTCCCCCTTTACTTTGATTGCATTGTGACCTATCTTCTTCATGCGCTCTGTTGTCTGACTCTTCTTTTAGGCAAGTTAACATAGTGTATAGGAGAAATTATTGAAAGTTTGTAGCGGGTGTGAAATTGCGGTAACTTGATTTGGCGATCAAGTGTACATCGCAAGCCTTTGTCTGGGAGAGTGGTAGTACATGCATCCAGCATCTTCTCAAGCATGCAAGCACCACATCGCCCGAGTTTTCTTGCTTTTAAAAGTTACATCAAAAATAGCACCCGCGGAGGTTAAAACTCTTGCATGGAGGTGGAATTTATTTAGGGCAAGGAAAATTACCCATCCATGTAGGTAGTAACAAGAATGAAGTTTGTCACTTTTGCGAAAAAGCAGCATTGCTTAGACATCAGGATACTGAGGAAACAATTTGGCAAGGCATTTTCACAATGAACGTTCAGTGTGTGTGTGTGTGTGTGTGTGTGTGTGTGTGTGTGTGTGTGTGTGTGTGTGTGTGTGTGTGTGCGTGCGTACGTGTGTGTTTGTGTGTGTGTGTGTGCGTGTGTGTCCCATATGGTGCAGTGGTATGTGCAGCGATTTCCAATCGAGAGGTTGCGGGTTCGATTCCCGACGATTATGGTCACACACATCTTTATTCTCTTTCTCAGACTCCTACTGACTTTTCTTTCATTCTGCTGGGTGCTTACCAACAGCCAGTGCATGCCGGAGTATGTGGTGTGACGGGTGTGCGGGAAAAAATGAAAAAGACCCAAAATTTGGGATTCACTGGCCAGAAAAAGTCACTTCATAGCTGTGTGGTGTAGACCAGGCTGAATAGTGACGGTCCATTCTTCAGCCTTGCAAGCTGTTGAATGGTGCAATCCCAGCACAAGGTGCTATGGCTTCTGCTGTAGCATCGCTATCATTGCATCTGGCGGTGGGTGTTAAATGTCAAAATGGTGTGTGTGTGTGTGTGTATGTGTGTATGTGTGTGTATGTGTGTATGTGTGTGTGTTTGTGTGTGTGTGTGTATGTGTATGTCCTCCAGGCAGCAATATGGATTTACACTGTGCAGATAATGGGGATGTCCGTTGCCATGATCTTCGGCGGCTACCTGGGTGAGAAGCTTGGCAGTCGGTGGACAACAATGATTGGGTCACTATTGATGAGGTGAGTCCGCTGGAATGCATGTGCGGTGATGTGTCAGCATTTTTCAGCTGCTCCTTCTTTGATACAGTGGCCTATTCTCCTTAGCAGGAGAAAAATGGGTACACATTATTTGCAATTCAATTATTCATGCAATGTAAAACGGTGGAGACAATGTGCAATAAAACGATGAAAACATGAAGAAATAGTGAAGAAATAGTGCTTTTTTTGCTTCTATTATTTTTATTATTTTGGATTCTCAACACTTGACAGTTGCTTTGCTATTTTGTTCAGTGCGGGCGTTGCATTGTCCTACTACACCTGCCATGACCTCTATCTCATGATGCTGACCTACGGACTGATGGTTGGTGTCGGAACTGGCATTGGCTATACCAATCCTCTTACCTGTGCAATGAAGGTAAGCCCACCGGACGATCGACGGGCTGTAATCCTACTTTGTCCAGGTTCGTTCTCGCACATGCTGGACGACCTGTGCATGCAGCCATGCGTCTACCCATGAACACTAGAATCCAACTATTATAATCGTATTGGTTAGCTTTAAATTCTCTTGGAATTTAAAGACTGCATCGAGTACGATACACAGCATCTACCTACAAAAATATTATAGCTGTGAATCGTAGAATCAATTTACATCAGACAAAGGATAATAATTTTTACTTCGAAGTATGAAAATCATTACCTGTTTCCTGTGTGTGTGTGTGTGTGTGTGTGTGTGTGTGTGTGTGTGTGTGTGTGTGTATGTGTGTGTGTGCGTGCGTGTGTGTGTGTTCGTGTGTGTGTGTGTGTACCAGTGGTTACCTAATCACAGGGGTATGGCCAGCGGAATAGTGGTATCCGGATTTGGTGCAGGCAGTACCATCTTCACGCAAGTCCAGACCATCTTCATTAACCCAGAAGACATTCCTGCAAGCCTGCCAAGCACGGAGAGTGACTGCATACAAACTGAAAAGTGAGTGGTGATCTATATTGGCTGGCGATACTTGGTTCCATATTGCGAGACTCTCCTCTCTTTCTACCCTACAGAATAGGAGACATCCTCCTAATCAGTATTTCAAAGTGGTATGCCCGTTTCAGTCTTTTGGTGTAAGTACAAGCACAGATTCCAATGTGCTATGTGAAGTAGTTTGAATTATCAAACTTGGCAATTTTAGAACCAATGACTTGACTGATGAATAATGTGTTGCTGGCTGAATTCTTGTGTGTTCTTGATGACTTTCTTTTTTCGCCATGTTTTCGTTGAAGGTATTTTGATGACAAAGATGTTTTGGATCGTGTCCCACAAGTTTTCCTGGTGCTGGCCGGTGTGTATGCCGGTATGCAGATAATTGGCTGCCTGCTTATTGCAGACCCACCCGAGAATGTGGTAAGTTTCATGTACCAGTAGATATTCTCTAGTGTCATTGGGGTGCCGAGAACGACTCTGATGTAGCTAAATTTAGTAACTATGACATAGCGTTATGGCATGAACATCCTTTACCGTGTGCAAGTTACTAGATGTAAAAGTGCCGCAGAACACCATCATGACTACTGAAACCAATCGCATAGCCAGTGATATAGCGTGGGACCTGTTCGGAATGGTTCCCCGATATCCAGAGTCTGCATGCTGGGTATCAGCTTATACTGGTATAACACTGTCTTGTGGACATGCTTGACATAACTAGTTACTGGTTATCAGTCATGGCATTGGTGTTGAGACATGAAGCAGCCGGACTAAGCCCCTGGACACAGTTGCTCAGTCACCCTCTACTTCTTCAGGTCCTCTTCACTGACTGGTTTTGTGATAAATATACATGTGTCATGCTCCCGTTTTCCTGTCCAATGGAAAATACTGTTCAACTATGCTGATAATAGTGTTAGCCTATTTCAGGAGGCCAAGGAGATATTTGGGGGGGGGGGGGGGGCGTTGCTATTCATACATATTGATAGACCTGATGTGCTTGTTCCAAGAACCACAACCCATTGAAAACCTGAAATCGATCTGTGTGTTATGCTTGCAGCAGGCCCGCAAACCTGCCACTGAAACAGAATCAGCTCCGGTAAGTTATACATTGTAGAGCTAGAACTGTGACTTGAGATGTTTCTAATAGTGCTGTGCCTGAACCAATCTGAGTGTCAATAATTATCTCCGACGGTCCTTCCTTTCGTCATGGCTGAATACTTCTGCCTTTCCAGCCGTCATGACAACAATGTGATTTGCCACCTCTCAGTCCCGACATGGTTGACCGTCATTGTGACTGCGGTGTGAGGTGGCGTGTAGAGCATTCAAAATTGATTTCCCTCTCCCGTTATTTCTATTTGTGGACTTTCATTGTACGAAGAACAGACGCATGAATCATACCACAGTCAGTAGTACGAAGCAAGAGGTGCCCATTAGTTCACAGCTCTGTACATTGAGTTTTCCAACGGCAAGCATTCGAATGATGGCATGATTCACAGGTACAGCAACTGTACTTGTCATGCAGTGGACAAACATGATAGTCAGTTACACATTTCTGCACGTTTCACCAATGAGTGAGGAAAATTCTTCTTTTCTGAAAACGTCGCTGTTAATTTACGCCGACACTAGATGTCTGCATCACATGATAATATTATTTTCTATGTTTTCGGCTAAGTAAACAGCTGACCATAATTGAGTTGAGGTAGATGATGGTATGATTCTGGCTGAAGAAACTATATTGCAAGGTCATGTACATAGCAGACTCAGCGGACGTTCGGATTGGCTGTAAACCTAAGTTTCGTGCAGCTAAGCAATCATCAGGCAACTCACAACCAATCGGAACGTCTGTCGCTGAGTCTGTCATGTTCTATTCAGCTCGGAGATCAACGGATTTGTTACACAGTTATGCACAGTCATACTTCTTCAGGCATGGTTTATAATAATAATAATAATAATAATAACAGCTCGCATGTACCCCATGGGTGAGATCACCCATGGGGCTAACGCATCTGTCGGCAAGAGTTAGAGAAAACGAGAAACACATGACATACACACCTTCTTCATTCTGTTATTGCAGGGAAAAACTACCTCGATTCCACCATGAGCCTAGGCATGAGGAATATAATATTAATTAAGTACAGAATGTTATTTACCAAAAGGATATTCAAGTAAGCGCAGATATTTTTTAGCATGATAAGTTAGTACATTGATTCACAATGCCGAGCCAAGCTTCCCTGTCTTGGGAAATAGCTTCCGCTTCGGCAATGGAAACGTTTATTGTCTTTAAGTCATTCTTGATGTTGTTGATCCATCTGGTGACGGGGCGTCCCCTGGGCTTCTTGATGTCTTTGGTGTCGATTGAAAGTCTTAGAGCTTTGTAGGATGTCGAGTCACTGCCTTCTCTGATTACATGGCCGAACCATAACAAGCGCCGTTCCCTGCATGTTCTGGTGATAGGCAATTGGTTGGACAGCTTGTATAAGTTTTTATTCGATATTTTTTGGGGATACACTACACCGAGAATGGATCGTAGTTTGTATGGTTTATATTGCACATGAATTCCAGTTCCTTCCAGCTCTCTTTCATGTATCTTTTTGCTGCAGCTGCTCAGTGCCAAGGGTAGTGACACAATTGTGCTTGAAGAGCATTATCAGATCGATTTCACACTGTTCAAGTGGCGATTCAAACTTGGCAAAATCCATGAAGCCAGCACCAAAGAAAGTCTCTTCGGCCGCAGCTTGTCAGTAAAGGAAGCCATCCGAACATACTTGTTCCCTTTGCTGTGGGTTACGTTTCTCTTCAATGGCCAAGCAACGGTATATTTGGTGAATTCGTACAAGGTAGGAAACAAACGATACTGCATCTCTCGCTCAGACTGGTGCCTTTCGTAAAAGAAACAGTCACATTTTAATTCTGCTACTTGAAGTACAAGTATGGAAGTGAAAACGAATATCGTTCAGCAAGTTGAAATATTGAGTCAAGAAACAAGCTAGCAGACCCTGCATTGTATGGTGTTTGTGATCACAGTACATGTATCATTATTAACATAAGCCAGCTGGCTATTGAACATGTTGCCAATGTCAGTGATCATCTGTGTTCTTTACCTGTGCTCAGACGTTTGGCCAAACATTCATCAGTAGTGATCACTTCCTGGCCAACGTGGGCACGGCATCATCACCTATGAATGCTGTGACGAGGATCTTTTGGGGTGTGGTGGCAGATCGCTACTCCTACAAGGTAATCTCTTCATTGCTTCGAATGCCAAATGTAGCCACAAACCACTCCGGATATCCCGTTTATTTCAGTAATGCTAGGATGTAAATGGTGCAGTCCTGCTCAATGAAAACCAGTCGCGTCACTCACATTTGCACATTGCACCATTTCGCATACCCAGTGTTCGCAGGTCCAGGGCTGCGCAATGCCCGGTGCGCACTAGTACTTGAGTGAAACGACTGGATTTCATTGAGCACTAGCGCTGTAGTACTAAATAGTAGATACCGCTCCCAAGAAACGTATTTCCAAGAGTACGTAATTACCATGCCAGTGGATGCTCTACACAAGTAACATTCAACAGTTTTACGCAAGTAGTTCCATGTCTTCTCATCAGGCTGAATAAATATTGTTAATAAGCTGTTAGACTGAGGTCATCAACAGCTTCTTACTTCGAAGTAGTTGTTTGCATTGGCTTATGCCATCAGGGGCATAGAACACGCTACGGTTACTACGGTATTGGCCGTACCACTCTTTGTCCTCTGCTTTTCAAGTGTCTTGCGATATGGCTGCCCGCAGCCAACCCTGCACTTGTTATGGCTGATGTGAGGTGTGAGAAAGAAGCAAATTATCAAGTCAAGTTAAAAGCCTGGATCGAAACCTCACACTACGCGTTTACTTGACAATTTGCTGCATTTGACATTTTCCATTATCCCCTGTACTTACCCATTGTGAGAAAGGAATGAAAACGTCCAGTTACTAAAATTGGCTGTACTTGCCTGTGTGGATTGCAACAGTGCTGACATATTCTTTCGAAATTGGAAACGCCTCCAATTTTTTCTAAGATTAAAAAAAATATTGTGTTTGTTCAGTTTCTGTATGACTTTATTCCACATGAGGAGAATTCATCATAAGAGTATGCCGAAAACTTTGGAGTGTTGCTTATGAGGAAGCTTGTTATTTTTGTTTAGCCCCATCCCTCACACAAACAAGTCAACAAAGAGGCATCTTTGGATTGAGGAGTGCTGGTTTCGAAACAACTGGTTTGAAGCTCAAAGTAGAGCTGGTGTTAGCTCAGAGCAGAGCTGCTGTTAGCTCAGAGCAGAGCTGCTGTTAGCTCAAAGTAGAGCTGCTGTTAGCTCAAAGTAGAGCTGCGGTTAGCTCAAAGTAGAGCTGCGGTTAGCTCAAAGTAGAGCTGCGGTTAGCTCAAAGTAGAGCTGCTGTTAGCTCAAAGTAGAGCTGCTGTTAGCTCAAAGTAGAGCTGCTGTTAGCTCAAGGTAGAGCTGCTGTTAGCTCAAAGTAGAGCTGCTGTTAGCTCAAAGTAGAGCTGCGGTTAGCTCAAAGTAGAGCTGCGGTTAGCTCAAAGTAGAGCTGCTGTTAGCTCAAAGTAGAGCTGCTGTTAGCTCAAAGTAGAGCTGCGGTTAGCTCAAAGTAGAGCTGCTGTTAGCTCAAAGTAGAGCTGCTGTTAGCTCAAAGTAGAGCTGCTGTTAGCTCAACGTAGAGCTGCAATGCTAAATGGATGTAATATAGCGCAAGGCAGAGCCGCAGCAAATAGCTAGATAACACCAGTTGTGAGAGTGGACCCGATTAGTGGGTACGATAATAATGATGGTGTGAATAAGTTGGATAGGGAGGGATGGTGGGAAAAGAAACACTGCTGAAGCACGATCCGTTGTCTGGAAGAGCACAACAGGGCAAGCAAGATTTGTTTGTTTTTTTCCGCAAAATGGGCTGGTGCCATTTGTGATTACGCAGCAAAACAAAGCGCATGACGTCAGTCTTGAATGCAGTACAAAGCAATGCAGTGCAGTGTGTGCGCTAGTTCGGATTGTTGCTAACAAGTACTAGCACAGCTAGTACACCATTAGCCCCATCCCTCACACAAACAAGTCAACAAAGAGGCATCTTTGGATTGAGGAGTGCTGGTTTCGAAACAACTGGTTTGAAGCTCAAAGTAGAGCTGGTGTTAGCTCAGAGCAGAGCTGCTGTTAGCTCAGAGCAGAGCTGCTGTTAGCTCAAAGTAGAGCTGCTGTTAGCTCAAAGTAGAGCTGCGGTTAGCTCAAAGTAGAGCTGCGGTTAGCTCAAAGTAGAGCTGCGGTTAGCTCAAAGTAGAGCTGCTGTTAGCTCAAAGTAGAGCTGCTGTTAGCTCAAAGTAGAGCTGCTGTTAGCTCAAGGTAGAGCTGCTGTTAGCTCAAAGTAGAGCTGCTGTTAGCTCAAAGTAGAGCTGCGGTTAGCTCAAAGTAGAGCTGCGGTTAGCTCAAAGTAGAGCTGCTGTTAGCTCAAAGTAGAGCTGCTGTTAGCTCAAAGTAGAGCTGCGGTTAGCTCAAAGTAGAGCTGCTGTTAGCTCAAAGTAGAGCTGCTGTTAGCTCAAAGTAGAGCTGCTGTTAGCTCAAAGTAGAGCTGCTGTTAGCTCAACGTAGAGCTGCAATGCTAAATGGATGTAATATAGCGCAAGGCAGAGCCGCAGCAAATAGCTAGATAACACCAGTTGTGAGAGTGGACCCATGAAACCAGCACTCCGTTAGCTAAGCACTATTGACGCACAGCAAGGGTCAATTTATGTCAGCACAGGCAAGCATTACGCAGCTAGAGTTCAGTAGCTCATTACTCACCCGAGTTGGGGATCATGGCATCCATGGCACGGCAGCAAGCCGGGACGATAGCTGGCGCTTAGCGCTTGTTGTAGTCCGGATGTAGCATAGACACGCATCGCTCTTTCCACTGACCTGCCACTCGGAAGAAGGAGTCGGGGCACTAGCCATAGCAGCGGTGGTGGCTGCACCAATGTAGACCGAATGCCCGGAGTAGTTCGACTGGGATGGTACACCGGCCGCAGCGACAAGAGACCATACTGTTACTGTGAATGACTGCCTGGTCAGCTGCTGTCTGTTCGAGAGTACGAACAAGAGTTGCTCTGGTCCCTCGCGACGAGTGACAAATGGGTAGCTAACAATGGCACGGACCGGGCAGTACGGCGGTACAGACGGGCCAATGTCACTAGTAACGCCTTTACCGAATGGGTCCGTCTTGGATGAAAGCAGGAAGAGTTGCAAGCGTCCGTCACCAGGGGAGCTAGTACAGCCCCGTGTGATGCCATTAGTGAATTCAGCACACCGAAGAAATCCAAAGAAGCAGCATGGCGGCTTGGTAGAGCAGCTTGTCATGGCCATTCAGGATACTACTTTTCCGGCGTGCATCCGTCAGGTGTCGTAGGATTGGCATAGTTATAGGAAGGTGAGGGGTGAGTACAGCCGTACCATGGCATCGCTGGATGCCCTTCAACACCCTCTCCAGAAGCCACGCATCTACTAAGGGGCCGGCAAACCCATTCTCAAGGTGGGCTTTATGCACCGCACTCGCATACACAGATACAGTTCAGGGCACGCTGATCATAGTTCACGCATGAATGTATGTCCAGGAACGATGACTCGGGCAGCAAAAGTGAGCTTCCCCAGGAGGGACTCGAGTTGACGCTGGCCGATGCTGCGCTCGCTGATAGTAGCCATGAGTGGCGCACGGATCTCGGACAGCTTGTCCTCTGGTAGCCGCAGTCTAGGAAAATACCAAGGTCAATGATGGTGATGGCCCTCGAGCTGGGATGGAGCAAAGAGGAGTGCCGAGATACGTGAATGCCCGGAGGGGGGTGGTGAGTTGCTGGTTGGCTGCAGCCAAACCAGTGGAGATATCGAGAAAGTCATCGAGGTAATGAAGCCGGTGATCTATAGCAAACTCGTGCTGCATGATCCAGTTGACTGCTGTGGCTACTGAGTCAAAGACGGCTGGGCTGGAGCGGAGGCCGAAAGGCAGAAAGCGCTCGTAGTAGTAGGAGCCTTCCCAGCGAAGTCCTGACGGCGGACTGGGATCTGCCGAAATGCACTGCGTACATCGAGCTTGGACAAATACACAGGCTGTGGGCATGACATGATGATGTTGATCGCGTTGTCAATGCTCGCGTAGTGCATAGAGAGCGGCTCGGCAGGAATGCTGTCGTTCGCGCCGGTGCCTTCCGGACTAGACAGATGGTGGATCATTCGCAGCTTGCCGTTCTTTTTGGGGATGGCACCAATACCAGAGCGGCGCATGAACTGAAATGGAGGTGACGGAAATGGGCCTGTGGTCTCGCTGCGGGCGCAGGAAGCAGCTTATTGCTCGGATATAAATGCCGAGTGAGTGAAAGCCAAGGGTAGATTATCAGAGAAAACCGAAATGTCGTGTTGGCCGGCAGATCCAAGAGTAAAGCCACGGCGCAGCCCATGGAGAGCATACGCAACGCATTATTGATATGAGTGGTAACAGGCGGGCAAAGTGGTCAGCTAGCAGTGTGGTGTCTGCAGAGTGTATAGGAAAGAAGCTACGTACCGAGTCAAGCTATTCAGTAGCCATTCTGGTAGGAGCGGCGGGGTGGCCGATTGGCTCCGCGCTGCTGCTGGTTGCACATGATGCATGGGTGGTCCTTGCCACACTGGCTGCAGGTGTGGGAGAAGCGGCACGACGACGAAGAACAGCGACCTCCATTGAAGTTGCGGCAGATTTCTTGGCTGTCGCTGGTATGGTTGCGACCACTGGAGGTAAATGCTGCTGGCTTGGGGACGAAAAGGACACAAACCGCCCCTGGATGGGCCGTCTTACATTGAGCGCATTTTGGGTGTGCATGGCCTGTGACAGCTATCTGCCATAGGTTCACGTCGATGGTGTCCAACCTCTTCGTGCCTGGTTACTGGGCCACGAGCAGCCGCAGCTGGCGGTCGTACTCTAGCCACGCGCTTGGGAAGAACTGGCGGTTAGCAGTCAGGATCAACTGCTGGTACGCAATCAGTTCAGCAGTTCAGCAGTGCGGTGTAGGGCAGCAGCCGTGATAACAGACATGTATGTGGTCCATGCCTCGAGCCGGGTAGTTACATGTATAATTATCGTGAACCTTGCGACGCACCTGCTTCGCGTACGGTCATCCGACTCAACGATATTTAGCTGGCTATCGTTATTCGGGCTGTGCACCAGCCGGAATGTTGGGCCGGAAGTGTGCAAGAATTTCAGGCAACCAACTTGAAAAATCTACGAACTCCCCTCGCAAGATACGTTCTTGCACAGCCTTGGGCACAGCTGGTGCAGGTGGCTGATCGGGTGGGTTACAAGGGCTTGGCCTGGCGTAGTGGCGGCAGCAGCCGCATTGCCTTGGCCTTGGGTGAGGAGCGGCACAATGCTCTCCGATAATAATAAAATGGCGGCCGACAAAGCCGACTACACCTCGTCAAGTAGATCTACGGGAGCGCAGATCCCATGTTGAGCCCGCGTCACCTGAGCTGGCGGAGGAGGCATTGGTGCAAGTCGGGCTTCTGGGCTCGCGAGCCGTGTCCGCACTGTCATGTTGCTGGTTCTCCTGGCCGGAGCAGACCTCACTACCAAGGGCTAGTTGTGCCAGCAAACGGTCCTGTAAAATACTTTTACTAAGTTTCCTTTCGGATTCAAGCCGCGCTGAGAAGGCTCGCCGCGAGGGCTTGGCAAGGCATTGCCTTGACAGTGTCGACAGTTAGGTCAGACATACGGAAGAAATACAGTGTCGAGGTGACACTCGGGCTGGCAGCAAAGCTACGAAAGGAAAAGAAACACTGCTGAAGCACGATCCGTTGTCTGGAAGAGCACAACAGGGCAAGCAAGATTTGTTTGTTTTTTTCCGCAAAATGGGCTGGTGCCATTTGTGATTACGCAGCAAAACAAAGCGCATGACGTCAGTCTTGAATGCAGTACAAAGCAATGCAGTGCAGTGTGTGCGCTAGTTCGGATTGTTGCTAACAAGTACTAGCACAGCTAGTAGTACACCATTAATCTAATTACATTTTGTCTCCTAGAAAAATATCGTGACCGTATATTCATGTTGCTTCCACTCTCTGCTTGCGAGTTGTTTGGGTCTGTCTGTCTGTCTTTCTTTCTGTGTACATATGAGTGTGTGTACCGCAAGTAACGGTATAGCCATGTACGTGTGCGTGTGTGCGGGGCATTTTCAACGTTGTGCTCATCGTTGCGTGTAACTGTGTATGTGTGTGTATATGTGTGTGCGTGTGTGTGTATTTGTGTGTGTAACTGTGTGTTTGTGTGTATTTGTTTGGTTATGTTGTCCAGCCAGCCATGTTAACACTGGGTAGCATGTGCACAGTGCTACTCATCCTCTACTACTTTACATCATTTGTCAACCACTATGCCTACGCCATCTGCACGCCAGCACTGTTCTTTTGCATCGGTGGAAATTATTCCCTTTGGCCATTCGTTACAACAAGGTAAGTATACTGTGACTACATGGCACTGAAATATATTCTTTTGCTTTCCCTACCAACTCCAGTGTTCATGCTGCATTCACTTGTATGTGTGGTGGAAGGGGGCACGGGAGGGAGATAGACAGATAGAGAGGAGATAGACAGATAGAGAGGAGATAGAGACTTCTGTTTTCTTCAACGTTGGTGGCTGTCACCGCAGGTGTTTCAGTGTTCCGTGGTGATGCGTGTGTTTCATTGTGTGCGTAAGAATGTGTAGGTGTGTGGGTGTGCGTGCATATATATGTGTGGATGCACAGGGGCGTGCTCGCCCCCCCCCCCCCCCCCCCAACTAGGGGGGTGCACGGGAGCCGAGGGGAGCCCCCCCGGCAATTTTCTGCAATTTGTTTGCAACCTTTCTTGAATTTTAGAGCATATTTGCATACATTACAATTGCAATTACCCAGATTGAAAATTTTTGGGGGTGCACGTGCCCCCCCCCCCCCCCCCCCCCCCCCGTGCCCATCGCCGAGCACGCGCCTGATGCATGTATGTGTGTAGGCGTGTGGGTGTGCACGTGCGTGCAGGCATGTGCACATACATGTGTATAAGCATGTGTGTAGGCGTGCATGCATGTGTGTGGTACAAGCATGTCAGCGAAAAAAGAAGAGAGAGTGAGAGAGAGAGAGAGAGAGAGAGAGAGAGAGAGAGAGAGAGAGAGAGAGAGAGAGAGAGAGAGAGAGAGAGAGAGAGAGAGAGAGAGAGAGAGAGAGAGAGAGCGGGAGAGCGGGAGAGAGAGAGAGAGAGAGAGAATGAGAGAGAGAGAGAGAATGAGAGAAAGAGAGAGAATGAGAGAAAGAGAAAGAGAGACAGACAGACAGACACAGAGAGAGAGAGAGAGAGAGAGAGAGAGAGAGAGAGAGAGAGAGAGAGAGAGAGAGAGAGAGAGAGAGAGAGAGAGAGAGAGAGAGAGAGAGAGAGAGAGAGAGAGAGAGAGAGAGAGAGAGAGAGAGAGAGAGAGAGAGAGAGAGAGAGAGAGAGAGAGAGAGAGAGAGAGAGAGAGAGAGAGAGAGAGAGAGAGAGAGAGAGAGAGAGAGAGAGAGAGAGAGAGAGAGAGAGGGAATGAGTGAGAGAGAATGAGAGGAAAATATAATGCATGACAGATTTCGTTTGTAATCGAAGCCTCTAAAATTTGCTGGGGGCTGATGCAATAATATGTGTTGCTTTGAAAGGACAGTCCAATTCAGCTGTAATTCACACTGTGTTTTGGTGGGTCGTGTTGTATTGTGTTTCCCACAGTACGTTCGGTCCAGCTCATGCTGCATTCCTATACGGACTTCTCTTTTCCTCACAGGTAGGAACAGCAGCACATTTACACTCAGTACTAAGAATCATGTTAGAGCATCTAATTACAGGTCGTCCCTCGTTAATACATAATCTCAGGGACTTGACAAATGTTATGTATTAACGGGGTTTATGTACTAAACGAAAGTGTACATAACTTGCTTCTATACTAGAATTTTTCACTTTTTCAACTTTTCTGAGTGTTTCTTGCTGCTATGACTAGGGAGCGAGATATTCTTGATTCCCTCGATATAACATAAAAATTATGTTATAACGGTCACAGTCAGCGAAGATTCTACAGTTTACATGATACATGCCCAGCCGCGCCTGTACAGTCACTCGAAAAAAAAACAGAGCTTTGTCGGTTTGTGATGTGCGCTCTGATTTCTGAGCTAATTGCGCCCACAAGTAGAAACTAGAACACGATGTGCCTCCACTGGAAGGCCAAAAGACCAACAAATTATGTACTATTGAGGTAGTTGGCATGCGGGTACAGAGACATGTTATGTACTAACGGGGTTTATGTACTAACGAATTATGTACTAACCGACAAAATTTGTATGGAAGTGACCACGTTTCGTCCGGGACTTGAGATATCTTATGTACTAACGGGGTTTATGTACTAACCGGACTCGTATTAACGGGGGACGACCTGTACTGCAATTTGCATTCCCGTTGTGAGTGAATGGGTTTTTGTGCACACATAATTATGTTTGTGTGGGTGTATGTGAGTGAGTGTGTGTGTGTGTATGTGTGTGTGTGTGTGTGTGTGTGTGTGTGTGTGTGTGTGTGTGTGTGTGTGTGTGTGTGTGTGTATGTGTGCATGTGTGTGTGTGTGTGTGTGTGTGTGTGTGTGTGTGTGTGTGTGTGTGTGTGTGTGTGTGTGTGTGTGTGTGTGTGTGTGTGTGTGTAAACCTGAGAGGTTGATTGAACCCTCATTGGCATCAAAGGGTACTGTCAGTAAACCCTTGGCATTGGAGAAAACTAAATACAATCATGTGACCTGAAAGTTAGTTCATCTGCCCTGTTCCGGAATGCTCAGATTGTTGGTGGCATGGTCGCTGCACTGGCACACACTCAACTAACATGTGCAATTGGCTATGGTGGTCTGTTTGCACTCTGCACTGGATTACAAGTGCTTTGTAAGTACCTTCGGTGGAATTTCAGACTTTTTTTCGAATCGCAATCCTTTCCAGTTGAATCAATTGGTTTCATGCTCACTTCTCCTTCAGGGGAATTCAAAGTACAGTATAGCTGAGTCAGTGCCACAATGTAGTTATCTAAAAAGGTGAAATAATTATTTTAATATAGCAATGAAAAAAACGATGTGCGCAATCATATCACAATCATAGCAACGAATGGGGAGTTCCAGAATGTTGTCTTGTCACAATTACTGTCTCCACGTCTCCGCCTTTTCTAACAAATATTTCCTTACTGTAACCTAATGGAGTTGATTGGGATTATCCGTCTTCTTTCACGACTTGATTATCCGTCTTTCACGACTTGGGTTGGTTTGATCAACTCACCCAGCACATGATTAGATACTGCATATGCGCCTTGATCCTTGAGGCCGTTATGGTTCCCAGCCAAAGGTGCAGAATAACCAGTCTGACCCACATTGAATCTATACCAGGCTATCTTCAGATGGTTCTAATCGTGGGTTCTTTGAAGCTGTGACTTCCTTTCTCGCTTTTTGTTCTCTTCATTGTTATCTATGCTTTCATCTACAACAATGCCATGGATGTTTTCCTCGCAACAGCAATGCTCCTTACAGTTCTGTACCCGGTAAGACACCCACTGAGCGTAGCAGTATGCAGGTTACAGTGAAAGGTCTTTACGTTTGTGCGAAGGCACCATGCACCGTGCATGGACATGTACATACAATATTCAATGAGAGATCATCACTTGTCCATCAAAGCACACATAAGAACCAAATAAGTGAATAAGTTAGAGCACTTAGAAATAACACACACACACACACACACACACACACACATACACACACACACACACACACACACACACACACACACACATATATGGATCCCATTATATGATATGTATATCAAAATGCAGCTAATACAATTCCCCAGGACTTGCGCAATGCCATTCAAACAACACTTGGAGAGAAAGACGGAGAGATGGAGAGAGAGAGACAGGGAGAGAAAGAGAGAGAGGTTAATTTTTGCAGACATCAAATTCAGCTGCTACTTCTGCTGAAGCCAGGAGTCAAACGTTCCCTGTGGAAGTTTCGTTTTGCTATGGGCTTCAAATTTGTTCATGCGATCAATCGTACCGACTATCCTTGTTGTGACTTCTCGATTGCTTGAACGCGATCCTTCAGCATCAGGACCTTGCGGTGCTGCTTTGTTTCTGGATTCCTTGACGCCATTGTCGATTAGTCTGTAGCTGTATGACTGGGGTGAAAGAGCCGCTCAGTCTTCGTTTCTCCTCCGAGTAGTAACATCGAGCAAAGAGCGCTTTCGATGCGCTCTCCAAGACGTTTCCTATCATGTCTATTCTTGACAGCGCTTGAAATTGGGACAGGTGTAGTGCAGTCCACACCGACTCCACAGTCAAAATGGCCTGCGTTCATTTGTTCAGCTGTAGTACCGAAAGATTCCTTTCAGGACCATGGAAAATCAGCAAAATTTCAAGAAGGAGCTTCGGGCAACATTTGATTTCCTACATCGCGGTCGCTAGTTACGGGTAAAAAATCGTCTTTGTGACAAGAAAAGGCGGTCGCTGGTCGCGTTCAGCAGATAATCGCTAGTCACAGTGCATTTTGAATGTGAGACCGCCCGTGCCTGGCCAAGTGGTCGGTAGTACCAGGCAGGTCGCTAGTCACGGTGGTCGTTAGTTACAGGTTTTACTGTAGTTACTAAGTCAGCATCAGATCTACATGGTATATGCTGTGATAAATATTGACATGTCCACGGGGAAATCAAGTACTGTAAGACCAGATATTTTACGTCAATTAAAGTTAACGGTCTCTGGATTTTTGTGGGTGACCGAGGTGAAATTCTAATGATTTCTGTGTCAAAACTGGCAAATGACTGTACTTGTACATATCGTTCGGTACATAACGACTTCGAATGTTTATGACTTTTTTATATTCGTTAAATCGTTAGAATTAGATGTTCGTTAACATTACTGGTCGTACAGTAAATTCCCGTGTTGTGCTGTCTGGATGCCAGAATCATGTGTAAAACGAAATGATCAATAGATTTTTTCAAGTGATGCATAGTTGTGAACACCGGGCCAAGGGAACCTGGCCTTTACATTGATTGCCTTATTTAAAAGTTCTTTTTTTATGCAATTTTTTTGGGGGAGGTCACTAGTATGAGTTGTGGTTGTGCAAGGACTCCTAATGCTGTCTGCCAGGATACATTGTAATCTTTCTTAAGAGCACCAACTATTCATGTGCTGACTTCGTTTTCATAGGATCCAGCTCAGCGTGTTCAAACTGAGGTAGATTTACCAGTATCACACACTCCTTCAGCAGCAGCAGCAGCAGCAGCAGCAGCAGCAGCAGCAGCAGACGATCCGACTGTGGATGGTGCAGAACACTCTGGTACGTTTGCCAGCTCAACGGAGCAACAAGACGCAGTCGAAAGTACGCATTTCTAACCTGAGGGACAATGACATGGGCATGGTGCCTTGAACCTTGGATGATGCAGGGCATCGCCATGGTAGCATGGAGTGTTCGAAATATCTATTTAAATCATGATTAGATGAAGCAAATACATGACTGTGCTTACTAGATTTCTTTAATTATAGCCGTTTTGGAATACTATTATAGGGTGCGGCAGAGCTCTCGGCCATTGAGAGCGCAGTGTAGTGGTGGAGGTGATACTCAACATTTTGGAATACTATTTCCCTAGTACATTTTTTTGGAGTTTTTCTGCACTGTTATACAGGCTCCCACCTGAGGCACATACTTTTCCTCAGTTATGATTGATAATGAAATCCAGCCAGATCTTGCCGTCTAGGTACCGTGATCATTTTCTTATCCCGTGCCTCTCACGTTGATCCCAAAAACTCTGTGCAACGGTTTAATTTAAAGGTTGCTAGGAAAGTCACTGAAGTATAATCTGAATGTCTTTCCATACAATGTGCATATTATTCTATTGTCTGTTGTTTGAAAGTGGATTTCCAAAACAGGCTTTAGCCTAACAACAATGAGAAAATAGGAAAAGAAGTTAGTACTTTGAGTGGAGCCTGTGTATAGTCAATGTTTCTTTTCCAGCTTGTTTTTTTTTATAAATTTAAGCAGAGGGTTGAAGAACATTTTGACAAAACACCAATGGTATGTAAAAAGGAAAGAGGCCGGGTAATTATGGATACTGTCCACACCTGTAACTAGATACTATAATACAGTCAGAAAGTGCTATAACTAGGCACAACACTGACAATGTACTGGGCCATTCAAGGGCCGGACACCTACCTCAAACAGATCTCTGAAGCGCCAACTAACAGCCTTCCAACTAGGAAGGTTCCAAAGAGGGGAAGGTGAGTGCAACGGAAATGAGCAGGAGCCAAGTCCCACGGTAACGAAGAATGTTGAGTGTTACTAGACAGATCATCATCAGTCTAACTACAATTCGAAGCAGCAAAGCAGCACACCAGCCAACTTGGGTGGCTCAAACATGACAAAGGTGAAATTGTACAGAAGGTTAGGTTAGGGAAAGCGTACAAACCCGAACGCCAACGTCCTTGTACTCCTAACTTTCCGGTTTGGCATGTGTTCCTGAAAAAGCATGAACATAGGCTAGTACATTATAGTATGGAGTGTAGGCGGAACATACATACCGTACTCGCATGATTAGAGCCCTCTCTTGAATAGTGAACCATAATATTTATTATAGTGAATAGTGCCCCAGTCTCCAAGGGTCCAGTGAAAATATACAGCCCTCTCTTGAATAGTGCCCCCCTCCTCCTCCCCCCTCTGACTGCATCATGTGCCCTTTTGATTTGCCTACGTGTAGTCTGTAGATACATTTTCATCAGCAAAGTGGTTCCCAAGGCAATGCTCGGGGTGTGTGTGCACCTTATTTTTAACTTAAGAGGAGAATCACTCCCGGCGGAACCGGTCCGGCCGGCTGGTCAGGCCATGGCCGGACCAACGTTTCAGCCACCAACATGACTGTGTTTACTACTTAGTAGGTCATGTGCATACCCTCCATTCCATACACAAACTGTATGAAAGGCTAGGGTATGGCTGGACCAATTCAAAAACTGCTTCCACCGGTCCTGAGAACACTTCCCCTGTGTCCGATTCATTTTTCCTTCTTGGGTCGTGCCTGTACTTGTATTTTCCAGCATAAGACTTGTGTAATGATAATTGTCATACCACCAAAAACAAGCGTACACACAGGTACTTGTATACACTTTAAAAAATTTCAAAAGTAGCACGCACATGTATGGTGGTAAGCAAGGAAGTGAGTGGTGTTCCACAGCATAATAGCTGTCTTGGGTATAAAACTTAGAAGAGCAACTATACTCGTACAGGTGTATTTTAAAAATGATAAATGGAACTGCATACATGTATGTGCTACATGATAATAATTGCCACCATGACAGATTGGGGCAAGTAATAGGGAGTAAAGGTCATAATAAGGCTAACAATTTGCGAAATGTGCAATTTGTATGGATCCTGCCAAGAGTAACGTACAGACTGAACGTTCTATTTTTTTAATGCACAATTGGAAAATATGACTTGTAACTTCTAATGAAGTGTTGCTAAGGAATAGTACAAAAATGCATGGCAATCAAGGGCACCAGCTTATTTTATGGTAGCTGCGCAAGCTCCAGCAACGGTGCCCATCGTACCTGTACATCTGTCAGTGTTGTAATGTGTGATCAAGGTAAAACTGAACTCAGGTCATTGCTCAACAAACTCAGTGGCTCTTGATGTCTCTCAATAATGATATAACGGGATTTCTAAGTTGATTTCTCCTGGACAGCTCCACACCACGGCATGCCTGCGTGGGAATATCAGCCGCAGGATCAGCAGGAATGTTCAGCTGCAACAGAATCATCAAAGTATGTAGCATTATAATCAAAGACAAAATGATGCTATATGCAGCAAATATTAATTAAAACTTCCTCGAACTACTATCATTCATTGCTTAATAAAATAATACATAGTAGGTGTATATGGATAACTAGTAGTCTACACAATGCTTATGCTGACAAAATGTGTTAGAGTCAATCTTAGAACCCCTTGAGCAAACACCAACACCGACCAATGCATTCCTAACACGGAAATGAAAATCTTTCAAGGCCTTACAAGATTGAGATGAATTTCCTCTCGCCTCCGCCAGCTCACACTGTTCGTGGACTCTTCCGCAAGATTCATCGAGATGTGGTGAAGTGGTTTACCATTGAACGCCATGACCACTTCAAGCCTACCGTCATCGCTACATTTGCATTGAAAAATTAAAAATTAAACAATTAAATCTATATCTAGTACGCTGTAAAAAAAATCTCAACACTCTTACTGTTTTACTGTACACTTTAGAACATCCAATGCTTTACTCGTAACGAATAGGTTATCATTAACCCTCTGAAACCCAGCACATTTCTAGCACCTTTTCTACTCTTGTCCTTTGCGAGTTCTCAAATACATGCTTTCATAGGGTGCACTTCTACGTAACAGGAATGAAATCCACCCACAGTCCCATGCCCTGAGTGGTTTGAAACAGTAATCATGCACGAAAAATGTCTTGTCATGTTCCACGACTTACGGTTTAATGACGGGGATCTGAAAGATTGCCGTCGGCCTGACGTGACACAGGCCAATTTTCCACTCGCTGAAGACGACTTTCTTGCGTATCAAGTGCGTGCCGTTGCTGCGGACTTCAAAAATGTCCAGTTTTTCATCTGTTTCACATGCGTACACGGCATCATTCTGTTCATGAAAGCCTTGGAGCAGTGTTGACTTCAACGCGAGGGCAAAAGTGAGAACAAGCCGGGATCTGTTCTCTCCTCTCATTTCCGTAGAAACAGTGACGAAGGTTTTCCCTGGAAAAAGAGACAAAATGACAGCCAAAACAGTCATCACATTAGCTTCTCTTTCCACTGCTCATGTACATCTTCAAAGATAACTCTAAACACGTTGACGTTATTGTGTTCTTTCTTGTCTTGATCAGCTGAAAGGTTGTAATGGTATGTTAGGTACTGATTGGTTCTGATAACCTAATCTTAAGGAGGCGCAAGGTCGGCATGCGTTGTAATGTAATAGCAGCAACTGGCCCCGGGTTGCCAATTTGCCATTATTACCAAAGACGAATAGAAAGGTGCATCCTTATCCTCGCTTTTCTTCTTGTTCCTGAAAAGAACACGCCGAAAGCCGCGTTTAGTTCGTCCTTCTCTGTAATCAGGAAGCTATTCCTTCAATGAGCAGCAGTCGCCTTGGCGAAGAAAGTAGCTTCATGAATCCAGTTTTCACTCCTCAGCTTGCCTCAAAGTGCGTTGATCTATAACTCATTCACCCGTTGACCCTTTCGCAGCGCAAGGTATGTTACTGGAGAAGCATTCAGCCATTGTCTTGCAGCATTTTCCAGGGTACGCAGAAGGCTACCGCAGTGGTCCTCGTCGAATTCTGCTCTACAGAGCACGCTATCCCCTTCCCAGCATAGACTGACCGCATTACCGTATTCAGGGTGGCACTCCCAGCGATAGAGCGGAAATCATGAGCAGAACTAACCAATATGGAGATGGGGTTCATCGGTGACTTGTTGCCAAACGTGCCAGAAGGTGCCTGTATGATCCTCCTCCTCCTCATCCTCATCCTCATCATCAACATCATCATCATCATCATCATAGAGAAAGCATCATCATCATCACCACCACCACCAGTGCCACCAGTACCATCCTCTCCAGGCAACAACCAGACATGGTGTTGAAGGGTGATGATTGCGAATGACAATGTCACATGCGACTGAAATCATGCCTCCTGACATAATCATTGTATCGTCCGTCCAGACACATACACACAATATGAATATTAAGTTAAAATACTATAGTTGGCAGCAAACGAGTAAAGTCAACCTTCTACCCAAGCATGTACATGTACCACATGTTTCATGTACGTGTATTATGCAGTGAAAGGCCTACGACTGGCTACGTACGATATCATTATCAAGTCACAAATTCCTGACGGTGACGGTCAAAAAGGACCCCAAAGAAGAGAAATGCGTAGTGGTAATGAAAACGTCCACCATTCCACCTCTCTTTTCTCTCACCGGAACATTCTTCCTTGTCACTGTTCTCGTCGCATGATGGAGCATCTCCTAGATGTGGTATGTCCAAGGCAGGGCAGACGAACGGACTGGATTCCGACATTGGTGGCGCTGCTCCGTTACACATCGTGTACTGTTGAGAGGTCTTTGCTCCCTCACTCAGCAGACGGTTAGGCTTCGATTCGGCTTGCTGGTGGCAAGGGTCAAAGCGGACTAACCGTCTCAACTCTGCGCCTTTCCTTTACTTTACTACTGGAGTACTGCTGTAGTTCATGAAGTCGCCCTGCTTGGTGTGGCAACATCAGCCGTGTCCCGCTATGACTAAGAATTAGTTCATGAGTCGATGAAAATCTATGTTCGTGACTGTACAATGAATGTGGCAGCGCGGAGTTCTAGTACCGGTAGGGCTCCGCTACATACTTGCGCAAGGAACTCGTGACTTCAGCCTAGTGCCAGTACCATGAGTACTGCCACTGGCAGTTCTTACTAATACTAGTAAAGTAAACTTACTTACTTGTGTAGTTAGTGGCAGTGCAGCTCGGCTTGACAGTCACCATGGTCACTGAGTCAGTGAGTGCGTTCGATTAGCGAAGGACTAAAGGGACCGTCACTTAATTTTTGCCGATTACCCGCCAAAAAAATCTTTTCGTTTCACGTGTCAGACACGTCCGCGACTCAGCGAGCGCGTACGACTCGACTCACGATCGACTCCTCGCGCTACCTTTCACGTCAAGCAACGTTCACGCCACATGCCATGCGCCATGGCTGGATAGCGCGTACATGCAAACATGATTGAAGACTTGCAAAATAATTTTTAGTGACTTTTTTACAAGTCCAGGCGCTAGGCCCTAGGCAGTACTAATGGCTACTTTGTAATGGCAGCTGACTTTATTTTCGGAGAAACACTACTCATTGTATAGTAAAAAGTAACAATGAATAGCGATATCATCTAGGAAGGATCGCTACCCTAACGCGAAGGAAAGGCCTTGCGCGGCTGCTCTACGAAGTGTTGAAGAAAGACTCAAAGTTAGTTGGTGGACGAACAACTCGCTGGTGTCGGAAAACTTGGCCCCCAACGATGGTGTTTGGTGAATCACCAAGCATATTGTCTTGTAGCAGTGTTCACCGAGGAAGGAGAACGCTCTAGCCGGTGCTGTTGTCCGTTTCATCCACGTTGGGCGTTAGCTGCACCGTGCCTATTGTGTTTTAGTATTCCATGGACACACATTACCATTCAGAGCGATTGTGGAGCCACAATTTACTTCACACAGCGTTGTATTGTCCACGAGCGCAAACTTCATTATCAACAGTAACTGTTACTCTTCATCCTACGTGTAGATTTGGAGTATACACGGCCTTGTCACGACAGCTCTACAGAGTGTTCAAGTGAGAAACATTAATTTCAATTGTTGGTGGACGAATAAATGGATGGTTCCGAAAAACGCGGCCTTCACCGATGGTGTTTGGTGGTGTTTGGTGGATCATCAAACAGGGTGACCAGCAGTGTTCACCGAGGAAGGAGAATGCACTCGCCACCACTCCGATTCATCCAAGTGGGCGTTAGCTGCGCCGCGCCTATTGTGTTTTAGTATTCCATGGACGCACACTAGCGTTCTCAGCGATTGTGGAGCCACAACATATCTTCATGAGGCGTTGCACTGTCCAAGAGCAGAAACGTCAGCAGTGACCCATCATCATACATGTAGATTTGGAGTATACACACCATGCGCCAATGGGCCTTGGCACAACAGCGGCAGCTCTACGGAGTGTTCAAGTGAGAAACATTTGTTTCGACTTTTGGTGGACGAACAAATCGTCGGTGCCAAAAAACGTGGCCTGCGCCGATGGTGTTTGAACCATCGAGGGCTCCGGAAGCAGCAGCTGAGCCAGATCAGCCAGTCTTGCCAACTCTCAGTTGACGGACTCCGTGCTGCAGCTAGCAGCACTGGCACCAGCCGGAAATATTTTTCCGCGGATACCCGTTACTTCCAGTTCTGTCAAGGGCATGCCTGGAATCCATTGCCAGGTGATGACTTTTTACTTTTTGTGTTATTTTGCTGCCGAGTTGTTCAGAACTTTTCAGCCCCGATCTGTCCATGTCTACATGTCGGCCATCCGCAAACTTCATGTGGAAGTTGGCTTTACCTACCCGTCGGGCCCAATGACTCTCCTCGCAAGGTCATGACAAGGCCATGCTAAGGGCAAACTGACTGCTTGATTTTAGCTTTACATCACCGCAGTCACTCCAGCACAATACGCCAATCGTATTTCACTATTACTCGCGTGTCATAATTGGGCCGATATTAGCTGCTCCGCCCTATATCCCTGATATGCCAACAAGACGAAAAGTGTGTTTTGAGCCTGTATCGCATATAATAGGCTCATCGTAAAACAAATAATAAAAGTCTTAAAAATCAGGGTTCACGTGACACTCGGGTTCCAGCCAAGTTTTCCGCATCCGCAGGAACGCTACCCCCCTCTTGAATTATAGGATAGTGGACTCTGCAATGAACAGATTATGAAACTCCCTGCAGATTTACTACGGTCATCTCTGGTGACTGGTCTTGGGGCACCGTGGAAGCTGTGACTGGTTGCCAAGTTTAGTTTTGTGACTGATCATGGGGCATTTGTGACTACTTCGAAGCATAACTGCTTACAGAGCCCTGATTGATCACAGAGTCTTACTGTTGTGAATATTTATATCGATTGAGAAGTCAAGCAGCCACGGGGCGCTGGCCTTGCAGCTGTGAGTATGCATACGGTACATATTCACATGACTATTGTATGCTGGACACTGCTGGTCCATTGTTGCAGTGTGTAAGTGTAAGTGGACTGCAGAACCTATTCCGTGATGAAACACCTACTCTTGAAAGACTGAATGTTTGAGCTAATAGTCTTTTACTTCACTCTCATGCTGCTCATATATGCCATACGCCAGAAGACCCTAAGTTAGTTCTAAGATTTTGTGGACCATGTGACCATGTGGTACTTTCACTCTACAGCCAAGTCAACCCACTTCGTCAACACACAGGGTTTTCCTCAGACACAAGCGAATGGCTTACTCCACTCTGGAGAAGAACACAGTTTGCTCTCTCGAACACCAACCGCAGATAACTACGGAATGTAGGAAGTGCAACAACTGCTAGAATAAAGACAACTGAAAACCAAAACACATGCAACTGCCAACATGCATGTAACAGCGACTGCAAGCCAGAACTCAGTACAGACTCCGCGCAGGGAGGAACAGGGGAAACAGAGGTAACGCTTCCGACTCCGAGAGCTTCGAATAGCAGCGGACAACACAATATATCAACCTTGTGTGTCACCTTGCGCTACCGCAAACAGACACCTATGGATGCACAGTACAGCACAGACTCAGTGCATGCACGGTGTAATAACTGGAGTACATGTAAACCGACAACGGTCACCTTGCACCCTATGCAGTAAGTTACAGAGGCAGTGCCAACAAAAGAGCAGGGTTTGTGTATCGTGCACACTCCAATGGCACAGCAGAAAATGTTCTCACCAATAGCCACTGCTAGCTGTTTTGTCATCTTGCTGTGCCAAATGATGCTGTATAGACGCGCCAAGCAGAAGTGGACTGCTTATGAGCGTTTACAGGCTGGATGGGGTGACTGATGGACTGTCGGAATTGGCGAACCACAGAAATCGTGTCGCATCTCTGTATGCTGGGTTGGCACTGATTTGTAAAATGGCCTTCTCAGTATCGCAGGTCATGACGATTGGTGGCAGGCAAAATCGTAGAACAATGATGAATTGCCTAATGGCTAGGTTGTAGTTAGTAAGATTGCCTGAATCCTGGATGTCAACGCAGTCTAGGTCCCACAGATCTGGGATGGTGCAGGAGTCGGAAGTTGCATCAGTTTGAGAAACGATAGCTGGCATGGCTGCTCATCGGCGTAGCTGAGTGCTTGGAGTGACGTGTTCGGCCAGTCACCACAAAACCGACTGTGGTAGGCAGAAACTGTAGTCCTGGCGGAAGTCCTCTGGTGCTCCCCGTCATAAACTCCCAGAGGAAATCTGCACCAATCAAGACGACTGACTATCTTACGGTCAATGGCGAAACTGGTTGATGCTGCACTAGCTGCTGTTGCGCTAGATGCTGGTACCTCGTCAGCCACAGCCTGATCAGCTACTATGTTGGTACTGCTGTCAGATTTCTGTTGAGATTCAGGGCAGATCGTGACATGATGGTGACTCTGATTGGTGACCCATGCGAGAACACACATTACACTTGCGGGTGGCCTTGCACTGAGTTGACCGGTGCCCTGTGCACAAACACACAAAGCAACGCTTCTGTTCAATCAGTTATTCTTTCCGCTGTGCTACTGTTGTGTATTTCGTGCCGCTCTTGTCCAGGTGAGATCCGCCACAGAATGCACACCCTCTCATACTGCTGGCATTCCAGTTACCATCAGACCGCTTCCTTCTCGTGAACTTGCATGTGCCTGTCACCAGTGCACCTGCAGAATAGTGAGTGACATCTTCTGCTGTAGTACCGCCTGTGTTTGTGCGGCGCAGAAAGGTGTCTTGCATGATAATATAACGCTTCAGTGCTGTTCTGAAGTCGTTCAGTTTCCATTGTGTCCCTGCATCTGAAAAGCCCCGCGATTCTTCGTCGTCAGGCTGCGATTCGTCCAGTTGAATCAGCGTTCGTCATGATCCGTATCTTGGTCACAGCACCATGTGACGATCTGGTGACATCAGACGGATATAATACACAAGAGACAATTGTGATATTTCTACGTTGTGTTTACTTCAGATACATAATCTAAATAAAAGGGGGTTTGTCAACCGACAACCGCTCTATTTAGTTGCTATTCACTCTTTAGATGAAAATTCTTTTATTAATTATGTCGAAAAATTGTGCGGTTGTCAGTTGACAACCCCCGTTTTATTTACAATGCAGTTGCGTGATGTCCACCACTTTCTGTTTATAATCTAAGAGTCTTAAAACAGCCACTGACTTCCAACTACCAAGGGAAAGCAAGCCCAAGCGCAGGAGAATCGTGCACGCGCGCGGGTACGTGACATATGATATCGTAGTAGAGCTGGCAGGCAGGGCATGATCAGGGGTTCAGGCCCTGCCTGTAAGCGCTCTGGTTGGCTCAAACCCTGGCAACAATCACGTGACATGTCTGAAAGTACAAGTAGTTGCAATTTATGCTGAAGTTCAAACTGACGGAACACGTGCAGCGCTACACCATGAACTGTGTGGAAACAAAAAGAAGTAGAGGAGACACGGGATAACGGACATGAACTCAGGGTCAAACTGATAACTGTGAAACGTGAATGCATGCAGTATATGGAGACAAAACAA